TCAATGTTAATGGTCTCAATTCACCAATCAAAAGAAATAGACTGGCAGAATGGGTCAAGAAGCAAAATCCAATAATATGCTGCATACAAGGAACACACTTAGTTCAAAATGAAACTCATAGACTGAAAATGAATGGGTGGAAAACAATACTCCATGCAACAGGAACCTGAAAAAAAGCAGGAGTAGCTATCCTCTTTTCAGATCAAGTAGATTTCAAACCAACACTGATTAAGAGTGACAAAGAAGGATAGTACATCCTTGTAAAGGGAAAAATCCAACAGGAGGAGATGACAATCATAAATATCTATGCACCAAACACTGGTGTGCCCAACTATATAAAACAAATACTAACGGACATGAAAAGTCATATATGCACTAATATAATTCTAGTTGGGGACCTCAATACCCCACTGTCACAAATAGATATATCAACTAGACAAAAATAAGTAATGAAATACTAGAATGCAATCAAACTCTTGAACAAATGAACTTAACAGATGTTTAGAGAGTGTTACACCCCACAAAATCAGAGTACACATTCTTCTCAGCTGCACATGGGTCTTTCTCCAAAAAACACCACATACTCACTCATAGAATGTGTTTAAGTAAGTGCAAAGGAATTGAAATTATCTCCTGTATATTATCAGACCATAGTGCAATGAAATTGGAGACCCATAGTAAAACAAACTGCAAAAAATTCATAAACACATGGAAATTGAACAACACAGATCTGAATAATCAATGAGTCACAGAGGAAATTAAAGAAGAAATCAGACAGTTCCTTCAAATAAATGACAATGACAATACAACATATCAGAATCTATGGGACACAATGAAGGCAGTCTGGTGAGGAAAATTCATAGCAGTTAAATACTCATATTAGGAAAACAGAGTGGGCCCAATTAAACAACCTGATGCTGAACCTCAAGCTTCTAGAAAAAGAAGAGGAGGACAAACCCAAAGCCCATAGAAAGGAGGAAATTGTAAAGATCAGAGCAGAAATCAGTGCAACGAAGACTAAGAACAATACAAAAAAACCAATGAAGCCAAGAGTTGGTTCTTCCAAAGAATAAAGAAAATTCACAAAACCTTAGCCAACCGTATCAGAAAAAGGAAAGAAAAGGCCCAAATCCATGCCATTAGGAATGAAAAAGGTGAAATTATAACAGACCCAGCAGAAATCCAGAGGATCATCAATACCTACTTCAAGAACATATATGCTAATAAGATGGAAAACACAGAAGAAATGGACAGATTCCTAGATACATATGAATTATCAAAGTGGAACAAAGAAGACCTAAAAATTCTAAACAACCCAATAACAACCAATGAAATTGAAAACGTAATTAAAATCTTAGCAACTAAGAAAAGCCCAGGTCCTGATAGCTTCACTGCTGAATTCTACAAGACATTTAGAGAGGAACTACTGCTGCTACTGCTTAAACTCTTCAATGAAATTTAAAGGGAAGCAACACTCCGAAATTCATTCCTAGAGGCGAGCATCACCTTGATCTCCAAAGCAGAGAAAGACCCAACTGAAAAAGAGAACTATAGGCCAATCTCACTAATGAACATAGATGCAAAAACCCTTA